ATAGATTACAAAGTATGTCTAGAATATTTATCGGATATCGGATTACTAAATCGTTATAGATTACAAAGTATGTCTAGAATATTTATCGGATATCGGATTACTAAATCGTTATAGATTACAAAGTATGTCTAGAATATTTATCGGATATCAGATTATTAAAATGTTATAGATCACAACGTATATCTAGAATATTGATAGGATATCACATTACTGAAACGTTATAGATTTTGGTAAAAAGTTTAGAAAAACGACCTTTACTCTCCAGACATATGTTAAAAATATATATTTTTTACTTTAATCAATGTTTCGCCTTTTCGGCTTCCTCAGGGTTAATATCCAGAACTGTTTGATATTAGAATATTCGTTAAATTATATAACTGCTTCTGAAGTTTTATTTCTCGTGTCTGACGTATGGTGCGTCTAACAATATATAAATTATTATAATTGTTCTAATATTATAGTATAGTTATAATACTAACTATACAGTGATACTAACATATCTCATATATTATTATATATGAGATATAGAAATAAAAAAACTGCAATATGTTTTATGATAGCTAAAAAAATACATAAACGGAAGATAGAAGCTGCTAGGAAACAATATTAAGTGGAAATGATACAAAGTTTACTAGCATTGTTAACAACAAATTTCATGACTGTGTGATACTCGAGAGTGCGCAACTACAGATATGAGGAATTACTAAAACTTTATAGATTACAACGTATGTCTAGCATATGTATTGAATTTCACAGATAACTAAAACTTTATAGATCGCAACGTATGTCTAAATTATTTATTGCATTTCAGTGAAGGCATCTCGTCAGTCGCAAGACATTTGTAACGATTAGCTTATGTTCTTGTCAACCAACAATAAGATTTAGAAATAAATTTTTTGTTATGAAGAGATTCGTTCTTACAAGCCAACAATAAGATTTAAAAACTACTTATTGTTATGTAGAGATTTTGTTTTTGTATGCCAATAAGGAGACTTTAGGAAATATAGCTTGGATAAGAGATAATATTTGCTGACAAAGCGTCTGATCTAGTAAAACATCAGTAATATTTCATAACTGGTATGCTGCTCCCATCGACTCGAGTTCATTAATCTAGCTGGGGTGGAAAATGAAAAATTATTTGTGTAAAACTCAAGCTAGATCAATTGTTTCTTATTTAAAGATAATTGTTTAGGCTATTCGTTAACTATATGCTACAAGAAATATTTTGGGTGGGAAATTTGCAGCATAAGACATTTTTTCATTCTGTGAACAAATTCTAAATTGCAAGACATTCTTCTATTGTTAAAAAATATTTTCGAAGACTTGATAGGCTCCTTAAGAGATTACTTGAAGCAAATAATTAAATTGTTATTTTTGTCTATTTTTTAAACTACAGTACGAAATTCAATTGGAAACCTGAGGAATGCTCTAGTCTTTCTTTAAGTGATTTTGATCACCTCCCCGGTTTACAGTCTTCGATAATGTTCACCTCGCACCTTCCACAGGTAGGACAAGGATTTAGAAATAACACACTCTTCCTTGTGAACATTTTGAAACATATAAAAAATGTTATAATTCGCGATGAAAATCTAAATAAATTGATCCTAATATAAAAATGTTGTAAAATCTGAATAAACTGATTCCAATATAAAATGTTATCAAATCTGAATAAACTGATTCTAATATAAAATGTTATCAAATCTGAATAAACTGATCCTAATATAAAATGTTATAAAATCTGAATAAACTGATCCTAATATAAAAATATTGTAAAATCTGAATAAACTGATTCTAATATAAAATGTTATCAAATCTGAATAAACTGATCCTAATATAAAATGTTATAAAATCTGAATAAACTGATCCTAATATAAAATGTTATACAATCTGAATAAACTGATCCTAATATAAAAATATTGTAAAATCTGAATAAACTGATCCTAATATAAAATGTTATCAAATCTGAATAAACTGATTCCAATATAAAATGTTATCAAATCTGAATAAACTGATTCTAATATAAAAATGTTATCAAATATGTATATACCGATCCTAGTATAAAAATGTTATCGAATCTGAATAAACAGATCCTAATATAAAAATGTTATAAAATTTGAATAAACTGATCCTAATAAAATTTAAACTTAATCTGTATTTAACTTTTAATAAGTATTTTGTTGTTGCTTTTTTCGTGAAGAATTTTGTTTTGTTAGAGAAACACATTGTACGAAAACGCTACCGTCTAACTGTAAAATCCTTTTCTGGAAAGTGATATCGTTTTCTCAGAGTCATATCAGTTTCCAGTATTATGGTAGCAGTTTTAGGAGTATTGTTTGTTTTCAGTGCGTCATAATGTTTGACTTCTAAAAGACCCCCCAGTGGCACAGCGGTATGTCTGTGGACTTGCAACGCTAGAAACCTGGTTTCGATATCGTAATGGGCAGAGCACAGATAGCCTATTGTGTAGCTCTGTGCTTAACTTAAAACAAACAAATAGATTTATGAATACAGCAGTTTAAAGCCATCTAAAAGTTTGACAATCCAGGAGGCAACACCAGTAACGGTAATGAACTGATAAAACGATGCGTTCTAATATTTATAAGTAAGAAAGAAAGAAAAGTATATTTAATTAGGTATACTGATGACCATGATCACTTTCAGTTTTGCTCTCGTCGGAAGTTATTATTATTTGCTTTACTTTGTAAACGTATGTAAGGAAGTGTGTGATGATGTTTTACTATTTTCGTGAACATTCTAACGCGTCTCTCTCGGGATACATTCGATTCCCCTCTTTTTAACCATCCTCCCCCCCCCCGACAGTTTAAGAACCACTGCAATAAATCAGATTCCTAAAGAGCTCAAAATTCGGAAACGAAGCTTGTTGGCGTCCAAAATCTCAAAATCATTAATCACATGAGGAATTACAATTCTCTTTTAACTACTGAGTGTTGTGTCATGTGGTTCTTTTTTTTGTGTATGTGTTTGAAGGTGTCTTAGTGTGGTTATGTTGTTTTTGTATGTGTTTGAACATGTTTTATTGTTGTCTGTTGAATATAAATTTTGTGTATACAGTGCTTAAACAATTTGTATTTTTAAAGTTTGTATGTATATAAATTATATAGTTTATATATATATATATATATACAACATTTAAAGTTTGTATATAGTGTTCAAATAGAATTTAAACTGGCAGATCCTGGTTTTAAAGCGCAGATAACCAACCAAACCCCAAGTTTTTAAAATATTTGTTTTAAAGCACAGCTGGATAGTTAGCATGCATGTCTATTGTACATTGTTTCTTCTTTAAAAAAACATCAACGATTTCTCTCCACAATTTAGATTACTAGATTTTGCAGTAGGGACGAGACTTTTCTCCACAACAGAAAAGCACCTACGAAACACAACATCCTATGTAAAGGACGTAGCACCTGGGAAGTAATCTCGTCATCGAAGGACTTTAAAGGTTGCAGGTAGGTGGAATTAGTGTTTTGCAACAAGAAACTCGGGATTTCAGCTTGTAACATTTGTTTTATGTAACAAGCCAAATCTCTCTCTTACAGGAACCTTCCATTAAACGGAGAACCACCGGAAGTAACATTCACATATGTCCGGCCGACAGTTCATCAGTACGTGATCATTCTACAGATGATGGAAGAGGTATTTTTTAACTGACTCTTAAGAAATATACATTTTCCACACGGTGGATCTACGTCAAGAATGGTTTTAATAGGAAACTTAGTGTGTGGTTGAATAATTATCACTTTTAATTGGTTTTAATAACAAATTAGTGCTTGATTTGAGAGGTGTATCACTTGTTGTTACTGATTTCCATAAAAATATCATGGTGTACTTGATGAGGTGTGTCAGTTGCTGTTACTGGTGTTAATAGTGAAATCAGAATGTGTATTATGATAATAATGAAGGAGCAAATTTTGATTTCTGGACTAAAACTAATATGACGATGATGTTCTCAGTTCTTTGCTTTCCTTTAATCTGGTATGATGGTATTCTCAGCTCTCATAATGAGGATGAAGACGGTTGATAAAACACAAAACATTATATTAACAGGGTTCGAACGTTTCGAACTGAATACCCTCTCCGCCCGATTCTCTCATCTGTAGGCTCTTGCAATTATAACTAGTCAAAATTTATCGTTGCTATCCTTAAACCCCTCACTTTGAACGAATTTACGATTAACGATTCTTTTACCTTTGCTCTTTAAATCTTTAAAATTCACTCTGCTGATCAATATGTTATGGCCAGTTTTGATATTGAATATCTATATACCAATTTTCCTCTTGATGGAACTTTAAATTTAATCGTGGACCTTCTCTTTCCCACTGACACTGAACAGTATCCTGGTTTCACCTGTAAACAATTCTTGGAACTTGTCCTCTCTACAAAGTTAAACCATTTCCTCTTTAATGCCGTCATTTATGACTAGGTAGATGGAATCGCCATGGGATTCCCGCTGGGTCCGACGATAACCAATAGTTTTCTATGTTATCATGAACACAAGCGGCTAGAAAACTGCCCAACTAAATTCAAACCTGACCATTACAAACGCTATATTGTTGACACTTTCTTGCTGTTTTTTTATTACCTTAATTCCCAACACCCCAATATCAAGTTTACATCCGAATGATTCTTTACTGTTCAACTACCTAAACTTCTATGTTCATGGCTAGTGTATGCGTGTAGGGACTGTAAAGTCACGAACATTGGCAAAACGAAACGCCACTTAAAAACTAGTTTGTGAGCGGTTACGAATATACAACGGGAGCGACCGTCCACTACTTAAACCCAGCCACTCACCTTTTCGTTCACTTTCTGAAACCACAGTATTTCATTTAACGATTTCTCTATCATTATTACAGGATCTTCAGACCTTGAACTTTACATTAAAGAAAGTTAACTTGTAGCTAAAGACCGCCCGACTATTAACTATTGTTTTATCCGTCCATTTACGACTTCTCTTAATAACTAAGTAAACTAGTGGTTATGAAATTATTTTATAATTTTAGTTAATAATCATCTTTGTATCACGATTTTCAGGTTTCGCTGAAGATGAAATTTATGTATTCCGAAATGTTCGAACCTTGTAAATATAATGTTTTGTCAATCCTCTTCATTTTCATTATTAGACTTCGTACAATGGAGAATTTACAATTTACTCTAAGACTTAAATATTGTTACATATATAAACAACCATATGATTTCTTTTATTTCTGCAAAAGTCAAAGCTGAGAATTCATATTAGAATTGCCTAAAAAATGTCCTTCTAATCAACATCACCATCACAGTTGTCCTTCTAATCAACATCACCATCACAGTTGTCCTTCTAATCAACATCACCATCACAGTTGCACACTATCAGCTGCGACTTCTCATCATCGTCAGTCATGTTTGAACAGGTCGACAGCTTGAATGCTGCCGTACATTAGAGACTGTTCAAAAACGCACGTGTTGTCCGATGGCCGACAAGTTCGAGCACATTTGCATGATATTAGACCAATCAGAGGAACAATCCGCGCGTTTGAAAAAAAAAAAAAGCATCACTTCGAATATTTTCAAATAGCAGGATGAGAGCAGCCTCTTCCATTTTTTGGTAAGAGTCTTCCACTCAGAACGGACTTTTTTCCGTCCTTTGGTATGTTCATTCTCTGGAACCTGTATTGTGTCTCTCTTGACACAATCTCTCTTTCATCACTCCGAATATTTTCAAATAGCAGGATGAGAGCAGCCACTTCCATTTTTTGGTAAGAGTCTTCCACTCAGAACGGACTTTTTCCGTCCTTTGGTATGTTCAGTCTCTGGAACCTGTATTGTGTCTCTCTTGACACAATCTCTCTTTCATCACTCCGAATATTTTCAAATAGCAGGATGAGAGCAGCCTCTTCGATTTTTTGGTAAGAGTCTTCTACTCAGAACGGACTTTTTCCGTCCTTTGGTATGTTCAGTCTCTGGAACCTGTATTGTGTCTCTCTTGACACAATCTCTCTTTCACCGAAACATTGGATGCGAACTGTTCTATCAGCTACGAGTTCTACTAAACGTTTCGCTAATATTGGAGTAAAAACGACAGAGATGGTCACTTTGGAACGCGTGATATACACCTTAATGTACATTTAATTGTCCTAAAGTGCTTTATCCTATAGAATTGTATCAATATAACGAAGTTGAGGATCCTGAAACCTCACTTTCTAGATATAACAGCTTCAAAATTAATGAAGATGAATATTTACACATTAAAACAGTTATTTTCCCATTATCTTTTATATATGTATTTGTTTAGTCTAATACCACTCCATGGTATACGCAAATGTGTATTCTACTTATTTAACCTAATACCACTCCATAGTTCATGCAAATACATATTCTACTTATTTAACCTAATACCACTCCATATTCCATGCAAATACATATTCTACTTGTTTAGCCTAATACCCCTCCATATTCCATGCAAATATATATTCTACTTGTTTAGCCTAATACCACTCCATATTCCATGCAAATACATATTCTATTTGTTTAGCCTAATACCACTCCATAGTCCATGCAAATACATATTCTACTTGTTTAGCCTAATACCACTCCATAGTCCATGCAAATACATATTCTACTTGTTTAGCCTAATACCACTGCATATTCCATATAAATACATATTCTACTTGTTTAGCCTAATACCACTCCATATTCCATATAAATACATATTCTACTTGTTTAGCCTAATACCACTCCATATTCCATATAAATACATATTCTACTTGTTTAGCCTAATACCACTCCATATTCCATATAAATATATAGTACGAAAAATTAAGGATAAAATTCAGAGGACCCTTTTTTTCTCAAACTTTCTATAAAATTTGCATACTGTCGTAAAACATTAACGAATTATATTCATCATAGAGCATTATATTTTAGATATAAAACGCACATTATTTTATGGTAATATATTAATTATTTTATTTGACCTTGATCCCAATTAGATTTAGCGTCAACCGCTAGGGTAATTTGAAAGCCAAGAATTTTTACACGCTGTCGGCTGGAACTTTCGGAAACCCTAAAGAAAATGTGTCTTTGGTGGGCGGGATTCGAAATCGCGACTCTCGGTTTACGAGTCGAGCGCCCTAACTACCCACCCCCGATTAATTATTGTTCAATTTGAGTTTTACGCTAGGGTACGTTATATACTTGAGTTTTAAAAACGGCACGATAAACTGGTTTTAAAGATAATCTAGAAAACCACACTGATACTGGAATATTTATCAGAGATACCAGATATTTTGGACATCCGGTTAACTGAAAACCACTATGACTTTTTGTCCCTCAATTTTACAGTCAATTTTAAAATGTTTAGTCCTGGAGTAATAGTAGAATTAAGTTGGTTGATTGTTTGTTTTAGAGCACAGCCACACTGGGATATCTGCTGCATCTACTGCAAGGAATCTAACCGGATTTTATCTTTGTAAATCCGTTGTGACAGATATATTATTCTTTATTTATCTTAATATCGATGTTTGTTTATATTAAATTTATATTTAGAAATGTACATAACGTATACTGTTAAATACATATTTCGAAACTCCTGCCTATTCTCTAAAGTTTTAGAAGATTCTCGAATGTAAGTATCAAGAATATAGGTGAGTACGTAAACGATAGTGTAGCTATGTATTGTTACGTAATCTGAATTTTCGAGAAACTCTCCACACGCCTATAAATATAACCAACGCGACGCGCCGAAAAACAGTATGTATTGTTGGTTTGCTATAGTCGGTATACTGTAAACCTCGGAAGCTATAACTATAAACTGGTTAGGTAATTTGTCCAATGAAGATCTAAAGGCCTTAATATTTTTTATTCAAAAGCACTTTATATATTTTTACTTTATTTACAATGAAACAAAATATGTGTAACATATTCCACTACTTGACTGTAGAAGTAAGAGTTAGAAATGGGATAATTACACTAGGATTTTCTTTCTTTACAGCGCAGATGGCTCAACCTACATCGTGTTATCTGTCACATTCTTGAGGTCTTCCCTGAAGGAATGGAACTAGGAATTCTTTGTGTAAATCATTCAAACGTCGAAGAAGTTAGTCCTATCGTACCACTAAACGAAACTTCTCGGGAAGACATCATGCTCAAGTTAAAAGGGGCTAATAATATCACTACACATCCTGGAAATGTTTGTGTTTCTTGTGCTGTCGAAAGAGCTTTAAAGGTGAGATACTTTTCATGTTCAGAACTCAATAATAAATAGTACATTTTCTTAGTTCCGTGTATGAATAATAACAATTATAATAGATACTAAATGTCCTTGGTTCTGTGTGTTATTAACATCTGCAGAAATAATACATTTTACAAACTCTTTGTGTGAGCAGTTATACGTCTGATGTGAATACTTTCAGATGGTGAAGACGACTCAACCTGCGACAATAGTGCTAGTGGCCGAAGAATCTGCATGGAACGACAACCTGTTACGAACAGTTGAAACTGTTCGACTTGTTTCAATTCTCTACATGAACAAGGAGAAAGACTGGACCTCAGCGTCAATCAAATCTGGCGATCTGCTGTATTTTGTAGATGACCATAATATACAGAGTGTTCAGGACATTGCTTTGGCCATCACCAGTGGCCATGAAAGTCTCGAAGATGGTCGTGAGGAGCTCGTGACTGTAAGAATTTACAACTAAGAAACATAAATCTTGTAGAGTATTAAAAAACACGAGTCTTGTACAGTATTAAAAAACACGAGTCTTGTACAGTATTAAAAACACCAGTCTGGTACAGTATTAAACAACACGAGTCTGGTACAGTATTAAATAACACGAGTCTGGTACAATATTAAACAACACGAGTCTGGTACAGTATCAAACAACAGGAGTCTGGTACAGTATTAAATAACACGAGTCTTGTACAGTATTAAACAACACGAGTCTGGTACAGTATTAAACAACACGAGTCTGGTACAGTATCAAACAACACGAGTCTGGTACAGTATTAAACAACACGACTCTGGTACAATATTAAACAACACGAGTCTGGTACAGTATTAAATAACACGAGTCTGGTACAGTATTAAACAATACGAGTCTGGTACAGTATTAAATAACACAAGTCTGGTAAAGTATTAAACAACACGAGTCTGGTACAATATTAAACAACACGAGTCTGGTACAGTATTAAATAACACGAGTCTGGTACAGTATTAAACAACACGAGTCTGGTACAGTATTAAACAACACCAGTCTGGTACAGTATTAAAAGACTATGAATATGGTACTGTATTAGATAACATGAGTCTGGTACTTGAGTAAGGAAGCACGTTATGCTAATATAATAATAGGTAGGCAGACAATGATTTATAAGTATAAGGAAAAGTTTTATTGATGGTGGAACATACTACATGTTTCGACAGAATATTGGTTTGTCTGTCAATAAATTATTCCTTATTCTTATAAATCGTTGTTTGCCTACATGTTATTATAATTCTGGTCACTTATTAAACAACATGAATTTGGTACAGTATTGTTACTCAGCAGTGAGTGTTAGCTAGCTGAAATGTTTATGTGACAAGCTTTTTAGGAAACCACGCCTATTAGTAACGTGTACATATTATATAGTTTATACATGTGTTTAACATCGAAACTCTCGAATATAGTATATAGCGTTACGCTTTTTACAAAAAGCGTTTCTATTTATCATATGACGTTTTTCTTTCGGAAAATTGTTACCTGTCTTTGTATTTGTTACTGAAACAGTTTAATTACTTTTTTGTTTCTCATGTGAATATTTATTTAAACTGGTTTAGTCAATATTACTCACGTAGTTCTATAACAAAAAATAACATATCGCAATTTTAAGAACATGATTGTTGAATGTTTTTGGTAGTACAAGTTTTTACCAGTATGAAATATTTTGAAAATGATAAACTTCGATTGAATAATTCAGGTATTAGATTTTAATGTATCTTTGCAGATTCATTACTCCGTGAATGTCAGAAAATATAAAATAGACGAACAGTTTTACACCGAGGAAGACCTGGATGGAAAATTTGTGTTTCAAGCACATTGCGAGTCGAAATCGAAATCAGAAATCAAGTTTAAACTAGACGGAAAGGATTGTACTGGGAAAAAAGTAGAGAACGTGGAATGCTGGCGAGATAACGTACATCTCAATGTTTTTAAGTCAGTGCAGTCTGTAGTGGTAAGAAAATTTCTAATTTCATACTAGGCCTGGCATAGCCAATAGGTTAGGGTACTTGACTCGCAATTTGAGGGTCGCAGTTTCCAATTCCAGTTCCATCACACGTGCTGTCCCTTTCAGCCATGGCGGTGTTATTCGTTGGTAAAAGAGTAATCCAAGAGTTGACGGTGAGTGGTGATGACTAGCTGCTTTCCCTCTAGTCTTTCACTACTAAATTAGGGACGGATACCGCAAATAGCCCTCGTGTAACGTTGCGCGAAATTCAAACCAAATATTTGATATTAGGTTACAAGTCGTAAATAATGGTTTGATTTAAATAATCATATATAACAATCCAAACCAACCAAGGTATCGTTATACATATATATATATATATATATAGCTAACGCCCTCCAGTGGCACAGCGGTATGTCTGCGGACTTACAACGGTAAAAACCGGGTTTCGATACCCGTGGTGGGAAGAGCACAGATAGCCCATTGTGTAGCTTTGTGCATAACAACAAACAATATAGCTAACACTTAAATGGATAAATAACTTTACATTGGTTGCTTTGGATTTTTACACTTTAAACATAAATAAATAAATAATGATACGTTGGATGTTCTATAACTAGAGCTAAATTATTAATGATGAGTTGGTTTGGTTGGATGCTCTATAACTAGCCCTAAATAAATAATAGTGCGTTGGTTTTGTTGAATTCAGGTACTCTATAAATAGCAATAAATAAATAATAGTGCGTTGGTTATGTTGAGTTCTGATGCTGTATAATTAGCACTAAATAAACAATAATGCGTTGGTTTTGTAGAATTCTGATATTGTATAATTAGCACTAAATAAACAATAATGCGTTGGTTTTGTTGAATTCTGGTACTGTATAAATAGAACTAAATAAATAATAAGCCATGGTTTTGTTGAATTCTGATACTGTGTAAATAGCACTAAATAAATAATAATGCATTGGTTTTGTTGAATTCTGATGCTGTATGAATAGCACTAAATAAATAATAATGCGTTAGTTTTGTTGAATTCTGATGGTGTAAGAATAGCATTAAATAAATAATTGATTGGTTTTGTTGAATTCTGATGCTGTATAAATAGCACTCAATAAATAATTGATTGGTTTTGTTGAATTCTAATGCTCTATAACTAGCACTAAATAAATAATAGTGCGTTGGTTTTGTTGAGTTCTGGTACTCAATAAATAGCACTAAATAAATAATAGTGAGTTGGTTTTGTTGAGTTCTAATGCTGTATAATTAGCACTAAATAAATAATAAGTTGTTGGTTTTGTTTAATTCTGATACTGTATAAATAGCACTAAATAGATAATAATTCGTTGGTTCTAGT